CCCAGGCACATGTGCGTAGTGCCCAGAGTCCTGAGAGGAAGGTGGAGGAGGGGTTATGGTATCGTCATCCCCTCTAGAGAGTAATTTCTCATTTTCTCTCTGTCTCTTCAGTGAGTACACATGCTTATAGCAAAAAATCTTTCTTAAGAACTTTGTGCAAAATAAGTGGGACCACGGGACCAGAAGTTGGTGTAATGGCTATGTTGCTGGACTCCCATGTAGTCAACTGCGGTACGAGTCCTGGATCCGGTGGATTAAACTCAGATCAGGCATGTGTGTGTGTGTGTGTGTGTGTGTGTGTGTGTGCGCGCGCGCACGTGCGCTCAAGGTCCAGAGAGGAGAATGGAAGAGAAGGGATTGTGGCATGGTCATTCCCCCTGTAGGGTGATTTCTTGCTTTCTGTCTCCCTGTCTCTCTCTGTATTTCTGGTGAGCGCACACGCCCTGTAGCAAAAACCTTCCCCCCACCAAAAAAAATAAAAAGTAGGGCCAGAATATGGGTAGCAGTTATGTCACTGGACTTACAAATGGCTGACCATGGTCAGTTCTGGTCCCCATGGCTTGAAACTCATGCTGGGCATGTATGCATGCGTGCCCAAGCTCCTGGAAGGTAAAAGGAAGGGAAGGGATTGCGGTGTGGCCAATGGCCCCACTAGGAGATGATTTCTCACTTTTCCCTCTCAGTGTGCCTATCCTCACCCCCCTCTTCCACCCTCACGAGCACATGTACCCAAAGTCAAAAAACTCTTAAAAACAACACAACAAAAAAACTCTGAAATACAAAATAGGTGGTTTCCCAGATTTAGTGTGCAGGCACCTTCAGATTTAGATATCACCTTAAGAAAGTCAAAAAGTAAGAATACATTAAATTTAAATCAAGAAAAAAAAAATAAATGGTAAAGACAAATAGAAATGTATGCTGAAAATAGTAAATAGTAAAATAACAACAACGACAAAAATCAATAAAACCAAAATGGTTCTTTGAAAAAAGAAACAAAATTGATAAGTTTCTGTCATCACACTGAATGGCAAAAGATTAAATGTTTCTTCTCTAAGAGAGAAGGTCATTCACTCTGGCTAGTGCAGTTCATTATCTTACCTGAGCTCTTAGACAGTTTGATAGGATAAGAAAAAAGAGATACAGCAATGAAAAAGAAGCATAAATATCCCTCTTTGCAGATAACATAATTTTCTATAAAGAAGATCCAAGGAAATCGAGTAAAAACGCTCAAGGTTCGTTAAGTGGATTTAGCAGGTTTACAGGATACAAGGTTATGTACAAAACTCACATTTCTCTATACTAGCAGTGTACAATTGGAAACAAACAAACAAACAAAAAACAGAAAATTTTTTTTTGCAAGGCCTGCGACAAACAAACAAACAAAAAACAGAAAACTTTTTTTTGCAAGGCCAGCGGATGGTGTGATGGTTAAGGTACTGGATTTCCATGTAGCCAATCGTGGTTCTAGTCCTGGACTGGGTGGCTTGAAAATTATACCGAGCACCTATACATGCATGCCCAGAATCCCAGAAGGAGAATGAAAGAGAAGGGATTGTGTCATATCCATTCCTTTGTGTGTGTGTGTGGGGGTGATTTCTCACATTCTTCCTGTCTCTCCGTGTTTGTCTCCCACAAGCACATGTGCTCTCTGGCAAAAACGTAGAAAAAGAAAAAAAAATTACAAAAATTACAAAAATATCAACAAAAATGAAGTACATACACATCTAAGAGAGCTTGTGCTGGATATGTATACCAAAACCAGAGTGCCGAGGAAAGAACCCAAAGAAAACCTAAATGGACTTGTCGTGTTCTTGTATTGAAAGATTCAGTGCAGTAAATATGCCAGAACTCCTCAGTTCTATAGATGAAATGCAATGCCAATCAATATTTCAGCAGGTTTTTTTTTTGCATACTAATTTTAAGAGTATTTGTCTTGAATAGACAAATCAGTAAAATGGAATAAGGAATTATGAAATAGACCTACCTAATGACAGAATTTTTGATGAAGGTGCAAACGTAAGTAAGCAGAGAAAGTTTTTTCAAACAATGGTGTTGGAAATACTTACTGTCTTTATGCAAAAATTGAAGCTTGACATAAGCATAACACTTTATACAGAATGGACCTCAAGATAAATGATAGAGCTATACATAAAATATAAAACTATGAAACTGTTGCGGAGGGAATGTGGGCGAAACTCTTCATTAACTGGAGCCTAGGCAAAGCGTTCTTAGACGTGACATTGAAAGTATGTTGTATAAAAAAAATCTAACTGCTGGCTTTCATGAAAATTAAAAACTTTTGTTCTGTAAAAGACACCACGAAGAGGAGGAGACAAGATGCAAACTGGAAAAACTATTTGTAAATCATGTCTTTAGACACAAAAGACTTGTCTAAAATAGATAAAGAACCCTCATAGTTCAACAATAGGAAAACGACCCCATTTTCCCCAATTAAAAAAAAAGGATAATGGTCATGCATAGGCAGTTCTCTAGTGTAGAGATGAAGATAACAAATAAATGCACGAAAAGGTTTTCAACATCACAGGCCTTTAGGAAAATGAAAATTAAAAGCTCTGACATGATAGCACTCTAGACCTATTAGAATAACTAAAAGAACTGAAAATACGTAGTGCTGGGTAAGGAGGAGAGCATTGAGAATTCTCAGAATTGTTCATAGGACTGCAAAATGACATAACCACTAGGGGAAATGGTTTGGCAGTACCTTATAAAGTTAAACATTTACTGGGGACCAGCAGTTGTTGTAACGGCTATGTCGCTTGACTCCCTCGCAGTCGACCGCGGTTCGAGTCCTGGACCCGGTGGCTTAAACTCACACCGAGCGCATGTGTGTGTGTGTCCAAGATCCCAAGAGGAGAATGGAGGAGAAGGGATTGTGGCGTGGCCATCCCCCCTGGGGGGTGATTTCTTGCTTTCTGTCTCTCTGTCTGTCTGGCGAGCGCATGCGCCCTACAGCAAAAACCTCTCCTAAATAAATAAATAAATAATAAAAAAATAAAGTTAAACATTTACTTACCATTTGACCCAGCAATTATACTCGGGGGGCATTTATCCCAGAGAAATGAAATATATGTTTATTTAAAAAAAAAACAAAACCTGTACATAAGTGTTCGTAGCAGCCCCAAACTGGAAGTATCCAAAATACCCTTAAAGGGGTAAATAGATACTTAAAATGGATAACCATAGATGTAATGCCAAGTGAAGTAAGCCAGACTATAAAAGACAAACACTGAATATCCCTGCCCAATATATGCTGAATATTTGCACTGTAAGGCAGAAATGGCAAGATCTGAACCTATTAAAAGTAGGAAGGGCAAGTGTAGATACCATAAACTACATGGGAGGGGCAGGCAGGAATGGATAGTAAAGGGTGAGCAGAAGGGCTCAGGAGAAAAACTTTTTTTGAGATACAGGATTGTAAAGTTCTCTCTTGAAAATGATGTTTATGAGTAAATATGTCATACTCTGACATGAGAGTATATCTTATGCTCCTTTTTTTTTTTTTTAAGAGGATTTTGCTATAGGGCGTGTGTGCTTACTGAAGAGAGAGAAAGTAACACCCCTTCTATTATCCTCTCAGGATTTTGGGCATGCACACACATGCACCCAGCATGAGGTTCAAGCTTCCAAGTCTGGGGCTTGAACCATGGTAAGCCATGTGGGAGTCCAGAGATGGAACCATTATACCATCTAGTGGTCCCTGTCTTGTGCTCTTCTTGGTGTCTCTTGCAGAGCAAAAGTTCTAATAAAACTTTATTTGCAGAAATTAGTCTGCTTCCTGTTTTTGTAAATAAACTTTTATTAGAACACAGCCATATTCTTTCATTTACAAATTGTTTATGTGTCCTTTGGTGACACAACAGCAAAATCGAATACTTGCAACTGAGTTGAGTGCATGTAGATCAGCTCTCAGACTCTGAAATGTTTAGCAACTGACCCTGGATTAGAGAAGAAATATCCCTCTCCTTCCAGCCCTTGACCATCCTCATCAAAAGCTGCCATTATTGTTCCAATAAATGACTTCAGCTTTGATTTTCCTGAAGAGGAAATACAAAAGTTGTCTCCTCTTGATGCAATTTTGTGTTACACTTGTCATCCTCTTTGGTTCACTATTTCTATAACCGACATTATAAAATTCTGAAGAATTGTGTTGTCTAAGGTTGTGCATCTCCTGGGGCTGGCAGGTGACATGCTGAGTAAGGACTCTGGACTCCCACATGGTTGATTGTGGTTCGTGTCCTGAACCTGGCTGCTTGCTTTCTCACTTGACTCTCCCAACCCTACTCTGTCCCTCTCTGGTCAAATTAAAAACAAAAAAAATGAATGAATGAATAAATAAAAATAATTCTTTTTTTGTAAGGGGGGGAGAGGTTTTTGCTATAGGGTGCATGTGTTCTCCAGAAAGACAGAGAGACAGAGCCAGAAAGTGAGAAATCACCCCCTCCATTCTCCTCTCGGGATCTTGGGCATGCATGCACATAGGCCCAGTGTGAGTTTAAGCCACTGGGTCCAGTACTCGAACTGCAGTCGACTACATGGGAATTCAGTGACATAGCCATTATGCTAACTGCTGGTCCCCAAAATAATTCTTTTTTTTTTTTAAATGTTATTTATTCATTCACTTATTTATTAAATGTTATTTACTCATTCATTTATTTTCAGTTTGACAGAGAAAGACACAGAGAGAGAAAGAGGAGAGGTGACAAAACAAGCCACCGGGTCTGGGACTTGAACCGTGGTCAGCCATGTGGGAGTGTCCAGTGCCTTAACCACCATACCACCTGCTGGTCCAAAAATAATTCTTACAAAAAAAACAAAAAAACAGAATAGACCTCCTAGTATTTGTGGAAGTTACCAATCACATATTAGCAATCTCAGTCACCTAATGGAAAGTACAAGATTTTCAAGACACTTTCCCATGTCTGTGTGCCCTGTCACCACATGGAGACCCATGCCTTCTCTCCCTATGTTGTATTTTCTAGGAGTCACGGGATTTGTCCTCAGTAGAGGCGCCCTTGTCTGAGAAGTGGTTCCTTGGGCCTCATGAAGCTATGGATCTGGATAAGCCATCGGTGTGGGGCTCATTGAAACAGCGGACCCGGCCATTGTTAATCAACTTGAGCAAGAAGAAGTTGAAGAAGAACTCGAACAAACCACTTGACTTAAGGGCTAGGCACCACCTGGACCGCCGCCTCAGCCTTTCCGTACCCGACCTCCTCGAGGCTGAGACCTTAGTCCCAGAGGGTCGACCTTACTCCGGACCCCAGTCGTCCTATACCTCAGTGCCCAGCAGCCTCTCCACTGCAGGAATTTTCCCTAAGAGCAGCAGTAGCTCCTTGAAACAGTCTGAAGAAGAACTGGATTGGAGCCAAGAAGAAGCAAGCCACCTACATGCAGCAGAAACGGACTCAGAGGAGATCTATGTCTCTCCCGCCGAAGAGAGGCAGGTGGCCAGCAATGGCATCTTCAATTTTCAGAAAACTCCCTTTGGAGGTGATGTGCCAGAAGAGCCAGAGGTGAGACCAGTGCTGGGTACTTCCCACTTCCTAATTTTTTTTTTTTCCCCCAAGTGTGTTGAATGCCCTTGGAACACTTGGTTGGGAGTTATTTTTGTGGTGAACTTAGATGGGGAGAAATATCGTTTGCAAGATTTTAAATTAATGTACTATTGATTGTACCCAGTGTTCCTATTCGTTTTAGGCTTGACCTCCGCTCTGTGTATTTTAAAACAATTACAAAGAATCTTTCTAGGATACTTTAAGGCATTAAGAGCCCTATTGGATGAGTTTTCTGTTTTCCATTTTTTGGCAAAAAAAAAAAAAAAAACAATGTAGGAGCAAAACCATTTCTCTAAGTTTTTAAGTGTATGTCTGCTTCTCTTCCTATACCTTTGCCCAGTCATGCCTGTGGACAAATTGTGCATATCATTATCCCTGAGAAACATTTGAATGACTATCTCCTTTTGATAGCTTAAGGGTTTAGATTTTCTCCAATTTCACATATGTGTGAGCATGTATGTGTGCTTGTGAGCACACACCTGTGAGCAACTTCATGTGCATTCCCTAAGAAAAGGAAAAACTATATGAAAACCAAAGCAAACTCCTTTTGACTTGGTTATTTTTAAAATTTATTTTTATTAATTATTTTAAAATAATTATTTAACATTTATTTATTTTTAATGTGACGAGAGAGGGACAGAGCGAGATAGAGAATGAAAGTGAGAAAGCAAGCTGCCAGGTTTGGGACTTGAACCACAGTCGACCATGTGGGAGTTCAGTGCCCTTAACTACCACGTCACCTGCTGACCCCATTGTTCTATACATTCAATCACTGTACATCACAACAGCTTGTAAAATGAATTACCCACCATGAATACACTTCACACCAGTCCAGTTGAAGATATCATACATGTTATCAAGATAATCATCCGTTTCAGTGTCCCATAAATGTCTTGCCTCTCTATTTTTCTACTTAATTCCTTTCCTCACATCCTCCCCTTCACCCACCCTCTTCCCACACTGTCTCCAGAATTCGTAACCATTTTCCATGCTTCTGTATGCTCTACTCTTTCAGTTTCCACCGTAGCGTGCAGACAGGTGGTATATTCCAAGTGGAGATATTCAGTTCCTCCCTTTCATAGTCTGGCATGCTTCACTCAGCCATAAATCTTCATATTTGTCCATTTTGTTTTTATCAAATACCAGGGTCTTGCTGGTTTTTTTATGGCTGTATTCCATAGAGTATATGTACTACACTTCCATACGTTTTTCAATCCATTAATCTGTCTGTGGACCTCTGGGTTGGTTCCATGTCATAGCAATTGTGAATAATGACACAATAAACAAAGGTAATGCCAGCACTTTTCCATCTGAGCGTTCTCCTATCCTTTGGGCAAAGACCCAGGAGCACAATTGCTGGATCATATGGTAGTTACATTTGTAGATCTTTGAGGACCCTCCATGCTGTTCTCCACAGTGGCTGAACTAGTATTCGTTACCACCCACAGTGTAGGAGTTCCCTTTTCATGACAGCCTCGCCAGCACTTACCATTTTTTTGTTTATTTAATCTGTGCCATTTTGACTGGACTTAGATGGTATCTCATTGTGTTTTTGATTTGCATCTCCCTTATGATGAGGAATGTTGAGCATTTTCCCATATGCTTTTTAGCTGTTTGTATGTCTTCCTTTCAGAGTTGTTGGTTCAGCTCATTTTCCCATCTTTTAATTGGGTTGATTATTATTTTCCCCACTCGGGTAAGTTGCTTGACTTCCCTGTGTATTTTGGTTATCAGTCCCTTATCTAAGGCATAGTTTACAAAAATTCTCTCCCCTTCTGAAGCTGTCAATTCACACTAATTACTGTGTCTTCTTGCTATGCAGAAACTTCATAATCTGATGTATTCCCAGTTGTCTATTTTTGGGATTATTTCCTGTGCTTTGGGGGTCTTATTTAAGAAGTCTTGGGATCAGCAGTTAGTGGAATGGCTATGTCACTGAACTCCCATGTAGTTGACTGAGGTTCAAGTCCTGGACCCGGTTGCTTAAACTCACACCGAGCACATGTGCATGTGTGCCCAGGATTCTGAAGAGAATGGAGGAGAAGGGATTGTGGTGTGACCATCTCCCCTGGAGGATGATTTCTCACTTTCTGTCTCTCTGTCTCTCTTGGTCTTCCTGGCGAGCATACGTGTCCTGTATCAAAAACCCCTCCAAAAGGAGAGAAAAAAAAAAAGAAACCTTTGCTTATGCTGATGTCTCCCAGAGCTTTCCTAGTGCTTTCCTGCAGTAGTTTTATAGTTCAAGGTCTTAAGTTTAACTCTTTGATCCACTTTGGGTTAATTTTTCCGTTAAAGGTTGAAACATAGTGGCCCAGCTGCAGGTGGATACCCAATTTTTCCAGCACCATTTGCTAATGAGATTTTCTTTTTCACATTGGCTTGACTGGTACCCTTTGTCAAAAATCAGTTGGCTGTATGTTTGGGGGTTTATTTCTAGGGTCTCTATTCTGTTCCATTGATCCACTTGTCTGTTTTTGTGCCAATACCATGCTGTTTTGTTTATCACAGCTTGGTAATATATTTTGGGGCCAGGGAGTGAGATGCCACACTCCACTTTTGGACAGGATTTCTTTGGCAATACGAAGTCTTATGATTGCAGACAAATTCCATGATGATCTTTTCTAGATCTGTGAAGATTGTCTCTGGTAATTTGATTGGGATTGCATTAAATATATAGATTAATTTGGGGAGAATTGCCATTTTTATTATATTCTTCCAATCCAGGAATATGGAATGTCTTTCCACTTTTTTCGTGTCATTTTCTATTGGCTTTTTTTTTTTTTTTTTTTTTCTTTTTCATATTTTTTCTTAGCTTCTCATAGTTTGCCTTGTATAGAGGTCTTTGACTTCCTTGATTAGATTTATCCCTAGGTATCTTACACTTTTTTGTTTTGTTTTTGTTTTTGTGAGAGGTTTTCACTATAGGGCGTGTGCGCTCGCCAGACAGAGAGAGACATAGAGACAGAAAACGAGAAATCACCCCCCCAGGGGAGATAGTCATGCTCCAGTCCCTTCTCCTCCATTCTCCTCTCAGGATCTTGGGCACGCACACACCTGTGCCTGGCGTGAGTTCTAAGCCACCGGGTCTGGGACGTGAACTGTGATCGACCACATGGGAGTCCAGCAACATAGCCATTACGCTAACTGCTGGTTCCCGGTATCTTACACTTTTTGTAGCTATGGTAAATGGGATTACTTTCTTCAATTCTTTATTATTATTATCTTAAACATTCCATTTCTATACATCATTTGACTTGTAAGAAGAATTTACCCAACATGGAATACATCTTAGATCAGTCCAGTTGAGAATATAATACACATTATCATCCGCAGGTAATTAACCATTTCTGTGTCCCACAAATGTCTTGCCTCTGTCCACACTATCACCAGCGTCCATGACTATTTTAACTGCTTTTATATCCTCTACTCTTTCGATCTCTACCATAGTAGAGTATGCATGTCAGTATGTATATGTTTAAGCATGAAACAGGCTTGGGGAGATTTATTGGCTTGCCTAATTCAGGCAAGTGTCATGGTCAGGATATATACCTAGAACTATCTGAGTCTCAAGCCCGTGCCTGAAACTGTGTGTACAGGACAGATTTGGAAGTACAGTTCTGCAACTTGAGAGATCTCAGAACTGGAGAAGGGAAAAACTAGCACTAAAGAAACACATGTACTTCTCTATGTCTAGTGTGGCTCTTTTAAACACAGGGATACTTAACAGTGATTGAACAGCTTTCTGTCATAATCATTAACTAATGATCACTAGGAGAAGAATTATTCTCACTTCCTCCCCGTCATTCCTGTAATTCCACAAAGGGTTATGTCTTTCTCAGTTGTTGCATTTGCCAGTCAGTGGTGTAAAAAAAAACAGCGTTGGTGCTGGCTTATGTGGGTGAGCTGAATGGTTGAGAGAATTTCCCCACGGGGATATTTCCAGAAATTCTGCTCAGCACCCACAGAGATTCGAGCGTAGTGACCACAGAGAAGCAAAGTGACAAGCCACAGAGGTGAGAAAACAACCTCTAGCTTTTAAAACTAAACAAGACTGTCAGCCTTTATGTGCTGTATTGTTGTTTTTCCCCTTTCTGTTTGATTGGGAAATCCTCACTCTGCATCCTGGTGTCAGGTAGGCAGGTGAGAAGCCCATGTCTCTGGATCCTTCTTGGACTGGGTTTCTTTTTCCTCGTTCCCTCCCTTCTCACCCATTTGTTAAACATCTACTATGGGCTGATGCTGATCCAAGTACTACACACACAGTACTCAGTCTGAACAAACAAAAGTCCCTTCTCTCATGGTGTGGTTATCTGAAGGGTGGCAGGCTACAGATAAATACAGAGAAATCTATCATTATGGAGAAGAATAAAGTAGAAAAGGTGCTTGTGTGCTAAGCTGCAAGTATTAGTGTTTTCGTAAAAGTGTGCTTATGGGGCCAGAGGATTGCATAGTGGTTAAGGCACTGGATTCCCCGTGGCTGATGACAGTTTGAGTCCTAGACCTGGCAGCTTGAAACTCACGATGGGTGTTCCTGCATGCTTGAAATCCTGAGAGGAGAATGGAGGAGAAGGGATTGTGGTATAGCCATTTCCCATAAGGGAGGTGATTTCTCGCTTTCCGTCTCTCTCTCTCTCTCTCTCTCTCTCTCTCTCTCTGGTGACGCACATGCCCTATAGCACAATCTCCCGCCCTCCAAAAAAAAAAATGCATGGTCAGGAGCCAGCAGGAGATATGGCCTTTAAGGTACTAGATCCCAAGTGACTGATCTCAGGGTTCCAGTCCTGGACCCAGTGGTTTGAAGATCATGCTAGGTGCATGTGTGTGCATGCCAAAAATCTAGAGAGAAGGGCCATCCTCTTGGGGGTCATTTCTCACTTTGTCTCTCTCTGTCTGTCTCTCTTCAGCAAGTGCACACACCCCATATCAAAACTAAAAAACAGATGACAACAGCAACAACA